ACGGATCAGAGCAAGGGAGCTAAAAAAAGTGATTACCAAACCATAGGCTTTTCATCAGGGCTCAGAGTTAGTGCTACATGAGATCACCTATGAGTAAAGCTAATCACCTAAAAGTCTTGCCAGTGGCCCCACCCCTCCCCTCGGATATTTTGGGCTAAGTCATTTCCTTTTAATTATACCGCTCAGTGCATGTAGAAATACAGTTTCTTCTTCTTGTAAATACATACCCAAATTCTGATCCCAATTAGATCAGAGGACTGAAATTGGCTGCAGGATCTGCCAGTGATGGATCACAAGTTTTGAGCCTAATAGTGAAAGTTTTGATCTTGATAGACCCAGACTAAGCTGGGAACTCAAACAGCTCCCTAAGTCACCACACAAATGTTTTCTTATACAGCTTACTGCAGCCAACAGGCAAGGAGCTGTTTGCTTTAGTGTGATAGCAGGAGGATTGGCACAATGGACAAGCAATGCCATTAGCTGGTAGGACTAGTTAGTAAAAGCACAGAAAGAATTAATACCCTGATTTTTTTTAACTAAAAGCCTGTGGAAATCGAAGTAGAAGTCCATTACATAGGTCACTCCACAAGTAGTGTCTCCTATTTATTTCCATGGAAACTACAACTGCAAAGAGCACAATAACACTATTTGATAGAGCAAATTCTCAGTTACAAACCACTACTCTTCAATACTGCCATCCTCCAGTAGCTATGCCAGTGGAGGTGATCCACTGTTACTGTCACTACTGCTGAAATGCACCACCCCACCAGCTCACTGTGCACACATTCACTGTTTGGTCTCTGTGAAGTTTCAGCAAATATCAATGAATGTCAGAGGGTGCCATTTTTTCTGCGTATAGGAATTTAATTCCACTCCTTTGCTTCATCTGCACTTCCGTATCAGATGCCATTCTGTCAGGCTGCTCCTCTGCTGCCATCTGTCTCATGGTAACAAAATGTAAAGGAATATTGACAGGAAGGTTCAACACCTACTGCCATACTACCAATATATGCCTCTGACACCATGGGCCAACATGATAAAATAGCAGGCATTATTAGTTTTGGAGCAGTTCATTTCAGAATCATCTTAAACATTTGAATATTTGTGAGCCTCCTATTGGAGCAAGTGAGAATTATATGCTTCCATGGAGAAAGAGATGGACATCACAGTACTCAGAGCAAGCTTGGGATAGAACAAAGGTTCAAATCTACCAAGGTTTTAAGACTTTAAACAAGAGACATAATCACATGGCAATTGTGCTTAAGGCTAAGGCTGCTGTTGGGCATGCCACTTGCTGCAGGGCTGGCTGTTCCAGAAACCAGCAGTCTTACTGTTACTTATCTGGTCTCACAGTGAGCTGTCACAGCTGGCACTGATGAGTCAGTGTTTATCTGTGCTGCTTCGTGGGATGTAATAGTAAGGTGAGAGAAGTGGGACTACCACATTCAGCAGCAAGTAGCCATTAGAGCAGCTTGAACATAAAGCAAGACCTTACCCAAACTAAAATAGCAGCTTCCTATCTCTCAGGTATGTTGTAAAGAGGAATACAAAGATCATTTCAAACTCAGATTCTTCAGTGGAAACAGACTTCCCTTAAGAACTTGAAAAGATCCTTTTCCCATTGATAAAGCTAAAGAAAATGGCTGATTCAAGTGTTTACGTTTTAGATTCCTGTAACTGTCATCTAGAGTATTTTGTAAATACAAATCCTAAGAGCAGAAGATCTAGAAGTGCCTGTTGTAGGCTGCCAAAATGCTCACTGGGTTTCAGAACAGAGTCACTCATACACTAAGAATAAGGCAGCATCCTCAGGTACATCACAAAGATTTAATCCTCAGCTGGCTTCCTCCTGAGCAGGCTGGCTCAGGGAAGCTCAACTGTGCAAGTAAGGGACTCCCATCATTGCAGTATATGCCTCCTATAAAATTCCTTAAATAGAATGCCTGGACACATCCAAACCTAAAAACTTTTCCCATTCACCACAAAGAGTATTACTCTTTGTATTAATAAAAATATTACTCCTTGCAAGCTCTAAGAAAGCTTCACTTTCCTGAAATTTTTGGTGGTTCAAAGCCCTGCATCAACTTTGCTTCCACTCCTCAGTATGCATGAACTCCTACGGCTAAGCGTGGTGAAGTACACAATAGACACTGAAGTAGACACTTACTTTACTGAAGTAAAGTTCTGTTGGGTGTGAAGGAAGGGTCAGTGAAAAGTAAGTTGAAAGTGTTTGCTCACAAAGCAAAATTCTTTCATTATTCATGCTCCAAGAGACTACAAAAACTACCAGAAATTTTAATAAATTGAACAGCATAAGATTAAGTTTGCTGCATTTAAGACCAACAAATGGCATTTTTTGGAGGAACACTTGTTAAATGTTCCTATGGATTGAGCTCTAAAGTAGTTGCAATTTCTTAGGAAAAGTTTACTTATGATCCTGGACACATTTGCCTGAAGTACAGAGATGCCAAGAAATCAAATAAGACACAGGACTGTACTAAGAAGCAGATGAAAATATGGAAAAATATTACAGAGCCAATACACGTGTATGGTTTATATAAATTTATGACCTCAGATTTACTCTGGAGTTCGGTTTCTAAAAAAACTGTCTATTGAAAATAGAACTGAAGAAAATGAACTGAAAAAGAGTTCAAGAAAGGGAGTGACATGAATGAGGAATGCTTCCCTAGGAGAAGATAAAAAGGTATAAGGTTAAATTAGTCTAAACTTCTTGTAATAGCAGCAGAGTATGGGAATATCAGGACAAGGACAGTGTTGAAACAGCTCCTTTCTGTTTTTCCAACCACATCCCATTTCCCATCATTGGATTTGGGAGGTAACTTAGGATCCTATGTAGTATTTTGTAGTAAAAGGGATGGAAGAGCCTGTAGTTCCAGAACAGAGCTATGTTTTCTATGTTTTGCTTTGTTTTTTTTCTTCAAGTACACAGCATGGAGTTTGTGGTGCAGAAGTTTGCTATACCACAGCTGCCACTGACAAATAGTTCAGATATTTATACAGGAGATCCTTTCATGGCCACCAGATTCCACTGACTGATCAACTCTTCAGATTCAGTCTTTTGGTTTTTACATTAACGTGATTTATATTCTTTCATTTTGTGCATTTGGAGTTTTATCCACCTATTTTGCATTCACATTTTAAGGCTGAACTTCCCCAAATAGGACTCATGCCAAAGTTTACAGTAGCATAAACATGGATAATTTCTAAAATTTGTCTGCTGTGGAAAAGAGAAAACAAAGGCATCTGATGTGAGAGAGAGTGAATTTCAAAATTTTGGCTTCCCTATGATACCTTCATAGAAATCCCTCAGAGAGAGTCCACCAAACACCAACATTCTTGGGCCACAAACTGAAAGTCCCTATGACAGAGTTAAGAGACAACTGTGTAACAGAAGTGTGCAATTGAACACAATTAACCATTCTCATAATAAGGGGAGAGGAGAAAATAGAGAGGAAGAATAACATTTTAAACCAAACATTTAAATACTCAATAAGCCTTCTACTGCAATATATAATTAGCTTGTTAAACTCATTTCCAGAGGATATCGTTGCACTAAACAGCTTAGTGGATACGACTGAAGGTATTCCTCATTTTTAACATGCTCAATGTAAACATTATTTTACAGCTTTCAGGAAGACAGTAATCGGATCCTATTTGTGCTGTAAGTTTCCTTGTATGTCACCCATCTAAAACAGTTTCTACCATCAAACTAGTTTCAATGTGCAAGTTCTTCACTGTCGACCTCTGTCAAACATATGGTTTTGGGCTATGAAGAATGTTGTTACCAACGTGGTAATTTGTGCCTTCCAAGTTCTGTGCGCTAAAAATGATCCTCCTCCCTCACTTACTCAGGAAGATACCTACTTTCAGTTCATAGTAAATATACCCCCAAATGATTCCCAAGCTGTGTAAGATTTTGAACAGTCTCCTTTAAAAATAACTTTTTATCAAAGCAGAGGTGTTACTAGCTGAGCAGTAATAACAGGTGGGAAGAGAACAAGAACTGTTTCTTCCTTGTCTTACATTTAAATGTGCGGTTGTTTTGTTTGTTTGTTTGTGGGGCTGGGATTTTATTTCATTTAAACAGACTAGCCAGCTCTGCTTGTCATATTTTTAGCCACAGAGAGAGAGTTTGTTCGAGGTCTGTCAGCATTTTCCTGCAGTCAGCCCAGAGATACAACCTTTCAAGAATCCTTTTAATACTGAACAAATATGTTAAATGTCAGAAGTACATATGCTCTTTAAACTCTGTTTTTCTGATTTCTGATTAATAGTTTTCTTGTTAACAGTGAAGATGCTGATGTGGTGTTCAGTACACCCTTTTGCATGTTTCAGACCTCTCTCTGACAAAGCACTGCGGGCCGGAGCAACTGCTACATGCATCAACATGAATGCTTCTGTTTACACAGAAGAAAAGAGAAACAGAAACAGAGAGAAACAGAACCAAACAACAACAAGGAAGTAAGTCAATAAATAAAAGCACATACCCACCCAACCAGCAGAGTCTTTATTCACAAAAGAACGACATGGAAGGTCAGCTTAGTATTAGCTAATTTAAAATTTTAAGGGGCTCACTGTTATTTGTCCTCTCCAGAATGGCAATCACCAGCACTTAGCAAGCACAGTGCCTTTTTCCACATATCTCAAACTACCTTAGGATACAGTACCGTGCAATACATAATATATAAAGGTTCTGCACCTTCTCCAGAGGTGCCTGGCACTAGCAACAGCCAGAAACAGGGTAGCAGACTGCAGTATTACTATTAAGTAATCAATTACTGCAACATTTCAGACTCTGAAATATTTTAAATACAAAGAAAAATATTTGATATATGAAAAGAAAAGAAAAGAAAAGAAAAGAAAAGAAAAGAAAAGAAAAGAAAAGAAAAGAAAAGAAAAGAAAAGAAAAGAAAAGAAAAGAAAAGAAAAGAAAAGAAAAGAAAAGAAAAGAAAAGAAAAGAAAGAAAAAAACAACTCACCATTCTGGAAACTAAGAGCCTTCTCTTATATCCAAATTATGCTGTGGCTCAGGACATCAGCGCTGTTGAAAGAGCACCTATTTTTCGCTCTGGTTTTGAAAAATTCCAGTGCTGAGGGCTGGGTTAGCTGCTAGGAGCACACCTGGTGTGTGCCTGTCTGTGAGAGGTGTTGCACAATGCCTGCTGGAATTTGCAGTCCAGCAAGTACCTAGCACCACTTGTGCAGGAAGTTAGAAGAGAGTGAAGGAACTACATTACCCACAACTGCCTTCAGCTGGTTTATGATTACACCTGAAACCAGAAGAGGTGGTGTGGGAGTTTCGCCCTAGGGAGGAGAGATGGGTACAAGTAGAAAAAAAGAAGAGAACGTGTTCTCCTTATGCACCGCCAGAAGCCGGTTAAGGTTTTCTGCTTTCACATGCCGCATTACAGATCTGTTGAATGTGCCGGGAGGTGGACAAGGGATGGGCTTCTGATAAAATTCAGGGTTAGAAATAATTAGATTTACAGGCAGTGAATAGAGCGACCAAAATTGCATGAACCTGTAGGACCGGTTTGGGAATCTCTGTGCATATAAGGTAATCAGACAATTGGGTATGAGTAAGCAAATGAACAAGGGGCTGCAATGGCTTGAGAAGGCATCTGCAGAGGAGCCAAGGCAGAGACATTCCAAGCAGAAATATTTCCTTTTGGCTCTGTGACCTTTAGGAAATCATGTTTTCCCAAGTGTGATATCACAGTTGCTGCAATAATTATTTCAGTATTCTTTAGGATATAAAGGCAAAGATCATAGTCACAGAGAGATGTGATAAATGGTCTTTGAAGTAGGCACATCATGGGGAGTTGGAGAAGATATGATCTTCTTGTCCTGTTCTTAATTACCAGCAGTATTTTAATAGAATTTAAAATTCACAGCTGAAGATTCCTTTTGAAGAAACAAGCTTTACAGACTTTCTAAGCCAACCTTCAAAAAGCTGAAATACAAACCAAGATAAAAAATTGTAGAAACAACAGAATCCTGGGGCAGATGGTGTCAATATTGGTGGGCAATTTCCAACCAAAAAAAAAAAAAAAAAAAGCTATTATTTACCAAAATATGTGGTTCTGTTCAACCAGAGCTAGTAGAAAAGTGAAATCAAGTGAAATCAAGTACAGCAAATAGTTTCATCTGGTAAAAATATAGGGGGAAATGTATTAGAAGGAATAGTACCAGCATCATTTCAATGAAAGGGTCATGCCACTGCAACCCTACAATTTTTCAGATCCTTCAGAGAATTCAACACTTTTTCTTCTACCTGCTCATCCAGAAGGTAGCCTTTCCTAACTGACTTTATGGGATTGTGAGGTGGGAATCTATTCTATTTAATATAACAAACTGAGGTGATGGTGACAGAGATTAAAAAGAAGAGATGCTCCATTTCCAAGTGTCCTAACCAACTAGATATATCATTGAAAGAGCACTGTTCTGCTGTCAGAAGCAGGTGAGACTACAGAAAACTTAACTGATTTCTCTTTCCACTGCCTTTTTGAACATCTAGTTTTGAAACTCAAGGCCTAGTAATAGAATACATAGTTCAGATAAAATTTTGTCAGGAGATTAAAGGAAACATTTCCAGGGACATTTATTAGTTTGCTTGTTTTGTTTTGTTTTGTTTGAGTTAGGTACTACTATCCCTCTCTAATACAGAAGACGATGACACTTCCAAACAAGCTGAAATTCTTTGTTACAGTAATATCATTTAAATAGGAATGAAGATCTTGGTATCTTAATCTCTAAATTTCGACCCCATTTCTATCATCTCTGATTATTCCTTAAAATTTCTATTTAGCTAAACTACCTTCTAGAGTCTTCATGTCTCTGAGTAGATCATCATTAGCTCAGAGAAGAAATGTTAATTCCCAGTAGAAATATTTTACAGCCATATGTTTTTGACAATCCGTTCTTTTGATTGAAAAAAAAAAAAAAAAAAAAAGATATTTTACCTTAAACAAAAGGACTGATTATTTTTAATATCCGTTTTTCTCAGAGGAATGTATCAAAACTCATTGAAGCTAATCTGCTTGTCAAATGTTTCTCAGCTGGGAAAATACTGTAGAGGATATCTGTACTTGTAGCTTTTTTGGACCTTGCTGACCCATGTAAAACACCTACACGATTCCAGGTCACCTTTTAAACTCAGAACAGGGCTTGAGTAGTAATATAGTTAATCTGGGTGTTCTGTAGAAGGGTGACCAGTAATGAGTTCCCATGTTATTATTAAAGTTTGCCACTTCTGTCATGTTACAGAGCCTGCCATCTAAAGTAAGTGTTTAAAAGACAATGCTGCCAAATCTGACTGATCTGCTCTCCTTTCCAGACTCCACAAAAACTCTGCAGCAACTTTTCTGTGAAAATCAGTTGGTGAGACGCTGCAATCTCCTGCAGCTTGACTCATTTTCAAAGCAAAAGTCTTTCATAAAGTAGATTAACACTGCTAGGTTTTAGGAATGCTAAGCATTATGTGGACAGTTAGTAAGCAATTTTGTGAGTTTAATTAACCACACAGTTTATGCACAGGGGAAATCCACATACTGGACACACAGACAAATGCAATAGCAGATGTTCACAGACTCATTTGGTAATATATTTTTCACATTTTATTTTGGTTTGCTAATCTCAATCTGCTTCACAGATATACTTCGGTCTTGAAATGAGTGGAATTTGAGGAGGGATATTTTGGGATATAAGTGGGGCCTAAAAGGGAAGATCTAGAAGCTGAGAACACCTGGGCAGTGCAGGAAGTCTGGGGTGCAAGCTGAACACAACGTGTGAGCCCACGGGAACACATTCACTAGTGTAGAAAGGGCAGAAGAGTTGTTCAGCAGCATGCAGGGCTGCCAGCTCCAGGGTACAAGAAACATCATGGGAAACTTACATCACTTTGGAATGGGGTGAATGCCACCAAGCCACATCCTTTGGCTTTTGCAACCTTACTGGTAGTGGTGGCAGGATCCTGGAAAGCCTGAGAGCGTAAACCGTCACATTTTGGCTTTATGTAACTTAACACATATGGGAAGTGGTCACCATGTCTTCGCTTCTTATTTGATTACAAGTATGCACCTTACACTTTACTGATTTTTCCTTTTTTTTTTTTTTTTTTTTTTTTTAAATATTTTTTTATATACTTTGATGTCTAAAATCAGCAATGATTACAGGTCAAAGGGGTCACTTCATCTGTGTCTGTAAACATGCATTGTTTTCAACAAATTGAATAGTTGGGCAGAAAGCAGAGTATCTTCTTTGGACCTGATCTCAGTTTTGCTGCAGTTCTTATCAGAATAATAAGCACCGGGATTTTAAAGTACATTGTACATTGTTTTCATCTCATTTGTTTCAGTTATTCCTAAAGCTTACAAGAGATAAAATATGAAGCCCCTGCCCGCCAAGACATTGAAAAAGAAGAATCATAAATACGAAGCTATAAGACAGTTACCTAATGGTCTTCCTGAAGATTAGTTATGGCCGCTACATAATTATTTATGTATACACGTAACAGGAAAATAGGTACAATGTCAGGTCATTCTGGATATAAATAAGTCACTTGCACATGGCAAAATACAGGTGGTTTTTTTTTTTTCTCCCTACCAGTGAGAAGAAAGCTTCCATTACAGAGACTATTCTGGCTGAAGATGTTTACATATGGGGTAACAGCTTGCTTACACCTACCAGCGAGATAATATTTAATAACTAAGAGAGATGTAGGGGTGAGAATTGATTTTCTGCCAGGTCTATGCTAGAGCACCAACATACTATACTATAATTATAATGGCAGGAAAAGTTTTGGCTGGTTGTACTGATTCCAGAACGCTGAGTATAGTCTATACCAGCAAAAACACTGATGTTGGCAGTTCAGCATCCACATTAGGGCTTTTGCCAATATAGAATATTGCCAAAAATCACATTCCTAAGGGACATTACTTATGCTAACAGAAGTTTCTAATACAAAGTAGGCTTTACATTCACTAACGAATACTCCACCCAGGCATGGTAATAAACTACCTTTCTCGATAAACAGAGAACCAGAGATATCAGGAAGTTCTGCATGAATGTATTTAAGAATTTCTTCATAGTAAGGGTGACAGAGCACTGGAACAGGCTGCCCAGGGAGGTTGTGGATTCTCCTCTGCAGATGTTCAAGACCCACCTGGATGCCTACCTGTGCAGCCAGCTGTAGGGGGCCTGCTTTGCAGAGGATTTGGACTCAATGGTCTCTGGAGGTCCCTTCCAGCCCCAACAATTCTGTGATCCCATGAAAGCTTTTAACTTTATTTCCAAACGGCAGGATATACTCCTGGGCGACATTAAATAATCAGAAAACTCTCAAATCATGATATATACATAGCAGGACGTCTTAGAATTCAGCCAAGGTGAAGATTTGCTTTTTAAAAAAGCATCTGTTGTATTTTAATGAACACAGAACTAGTGGAATCAGTACTATGTGGGAAACAACAGCCAAAGTCCACAGCAGGAATGTTTACTAAAACTGCTGAAGGCAATAGACCCAACTGAAATAGCACTCTACAGCACAGAATTTAGTAGAGAAAATATGTTGAGTAGCAGGTGCTATACCTATGTTTATTATATCTACTTGTACTCTGAAAAAAATTGAAATCAGTTTTCCTTGAAATTTATTAGAAAACAAATCAGAAAGTCTTGGTAAAAACACGGTTGCTCTGAGTAGAACATATCAACTTGAAAAACATCATGCTTTTCCTGTAGTATTTATGTTAGTGAAGGAATGAGTATAACATGCCTTTACATGAGTGGAATGTTATAACTATCTTATTAAATTATTTTTAAAAGAGGAGTGGGAGGAATTGTTTGTTTCATTTGTATTTGTAATTCTTTTATTATTTAGTGAATGAAAAACTTTAAAAAGAATCATCCAATTCAAACATTAGTGTGAATAGCTAGCTGGAAAATTGGACTGAAAATCATTAGGGTGAGAGCTTTCTTAAATGAGGAGCACGTGGTTGCCAAAAGGGACTTGGAAAAATGCCTCTGAGAGTGGCAAAGGGAGATGAGAGAATTCTCTTTCTCTCCTGAAATAGCAAGAACATTAAAACTTAAGCTACAGACAAGGACCCACAAAATGTTTTTTGTGACATGGGAACATTTGTTTCCTTTCTGTAAACACAACTGCTTAGTTTGGTTAGTTTCTAGATTACTTTATGCAAAATCTGTTCTT